ATAGAGCACAATACGCACTGTAGTCAACGCCCAACATTGCTCTATGGCGTTCCGTCAGGATTTAATGATTCATTAATCAAAGTGAGGAATTCACATGAATAAATACAAAGTATACAAACAGTATACATAGTCTACCTTTTGGGTCGATATCAATAACGACTTTCTTGATCTCTTCACTAGCAGGGTTGAAATCTAGTGATCTAATCACATCTCCGGACTCACTGCATTCAATTTTGCCATCTCCAACTGTGTCAAACAACTGAAACGCTTCTCTGTACTCTAGAGATAACAAATAATCAAATAAAATCATTAAAAATGCCTGATGCCTAATTGTTATCTGCAAACCACTGTTTAGAATATGTTTACGGACACTTAGTCGTTTAAAAAATTCCATATTCGTAAAATCTGTGTACGACTCGGGCATAAATATTGTATATTTTATTTACCCTCTATCTTAAGATCGGAGAATACACTCTGTAAAAGCGAGAGAAATGTTAAAATGTGTCAAAAAGTGCGCAAAATAACACGGAATACGCGACAGAAATACAAACCATTTCGCTAAGTTTCTTGATTGCTTGCCCAGTGATACCGCGCGTAAAACGATAACAAGATTACAAGAACAGCTGAAGTGTTTTAGATTGCAGTAACATGATATATTTACCGGATTTCATGGTATGAAACCAAATTTGGCTCAGTTGAAAATATTTGTGTGGATCAAATAATAAATATTTCCTAATTGTTTACTCATTTCAAGTTTATAAATATTAGAATACTCGCAGAAACAAATATATGCCATGAACCCAAAACAGAATTGTTCTGATGACAATTTAACAGACATTATATTATTAAAAACAAATTACTTGGCTTACATTTTCCTGAGTGAAATTTATACAAGCATGAGTCAAGCATGGCTTCCTTGGAATGTTGCTTTAGTTGCTTCTAAAGCAAGCGGAAATCTACAACTAGTCCCAATTGCAAATTCTACAAATATAATATTATTAGGGAGAACATTTTACCTTCTTCTAATGATAAACTTGCCATTTCAATATTAATTCAATTTTCTAGCGAAGATGTTGTAGAATATAAAAGCAGAGATCAAGTAGTCCAGGTGAAAATTCTGCCACAGCTTGCTTTTATCTGATTTTGGGACGACCGGCGAATCACGACAAATCACGGTACTTGCCGATGATTGTCTGACAGCCGGATTTATGTTAAAAAGTAAATATTCTGGTAATCTACCTTGGAATACAATAGAAGGTACACGGAATATTATAATACTAAAAAATAGAATGTTTCCACCAATTCTATAGACTGTGTCAGTGACTCAGTGTGGTGGAGCCACAACTCTGAAATCTCTGAGGATCTGTGCCGGGCCGGAACCCCCCCCCCCCCAGGCAAGAAAGGGGACCCAACTTCCCCCAGAGGGCCCCGGAACGCTGGAATTGCGGAACGTGTTAAATATTAAGGAAGATTCTAAAAAATTAAGGTAGAAAAAGGTCTGCAAAAGTAGTTTTAACCCCCCATTATCGCGAAATGTTTTAGTTCACCCCCCAACCAGATATCGCTAGGTACGTCCCTGTGGATTTCCACCGATTTGTGGAAAGGCACTAGACTTGGTCAAATCAACATTCCGAATCACAGACTCTCTGTTCAATTAGTAAACAACACGTTTTCGTGTTGTTTTCCGTTCACAAGCAGTGGCGTAGCCAAGGGCGGG